AAAATCTTTTACTCAGTTATGTGTTTCTGTAACCTAGCTGAATTGAAATTCAGCTCCAATCTATTTTTATATGCCCCAAAGTGTGCTTTTCCATTAAAACTAAAGAAAAGGGGTACAAAAGAGTACAAATGGAAAAACAATCAACTGTACGTCCCCAACACAAAAGGGCATGCATACAAAGAAAAGCAAAGAAATGAATAACCAAAAAAAGAAAGAACAAAAAAAGAAAAGCCCCTCATCTGAACATGAGAGATCCCTCAAGGTATTGTAGATGGTACCAACAAGGCAATTAAAAGACCACTCCGAAAAGGGCCCAGAGAGTTCTCAATTGATTGTAGCAATTGGTACAATACACACGAGAAGACCTCAACAATGGTCATTTAAGGGGCCCAAATTCCCGCCCATGTTCTCATTAGTTGCATTCTTCCTCTTTCTTGGGGTAGTGGTGATAGGCCCAAGCTGCTTCAGTTCTTTCTGAAGGTGACCAAGAGATACACTAGGTCTATTCTTAGATAGATTCAGGCAGTTGTTGGAGATATCCTGCTGTTGAGGTTTTAGAGCAATGATGACAATAGGCTCTAGGATGGAAACAGCTGACGTAGGAATGGGACGTCTCATTTCATGGCCTTTAGAATGGCCTTTTTACTTAGGCTTTCGCCTTCAAAGGATGACGTCCCAAGTTCCTAATTGTTCCTCGTGTGAATGTTGGGAAGGTGGAAGTTCTGACGGTTGAGTATGCACAGGAATAGCTGGTTAAGTCCACAATGGAAACAAAGATGAGAAAGCCCATCGTACTCAACTCTTTTAAAAAATCATCCATTTAGTCATTTAATCCAAAAACCTAGGGAGAGTTTAAGTGTTAAATCAATGTGAACACATACTCGAGCAGAAGAACTTTGACCCCAAGAGGAAGATTGTTCATCCATCCAAAGAGATTTGCCAATCATTGCAGCCATGCAAACAATATTGGAAGTATCCCAATACATCAGAGTAAGCCGACGAAAACAGACCCAAATTGGTGAAACGAACAACTTCATATCCTCAAGAGAAAAGGAACATGACTATCGATCAAGGCCAATCATGCTTTCGGCCACAATCCAAGGACCGCTCCTAAGGATGATATCACGAGCTTCAGGGATTTGAAAAATACAAATAAAATAATTAGGAGCAATGGTGATCACTTGAAACTCCCCAATATGAGACCCTAAAGCTTATGCTTAACAACAGTTACTCCTTCCACCTCATCTAATTTTTATTTTTGTTTTTTTCAATCGTAATGGTTGGGCTTGCCTCCTCTACAGAATCTTCTACTACCGAAATGATCTCTGAGGTCATCATCGAAGTTCTTATCTCTGCACACCAGAAATTTCTCATGAATAATATGGAAAATATTATTCACGTCCACTAACAGCTGATAATTATCCATTGTAGAGATATCAAGTCCTTAAAGTGTTCCAAGCAAGTGGATTAGCGGGATTTTTTGATGGATTTTCTTCTTGTCCCAACAAATATCCACTCATTTCTAATGGTGTTTCCTCTCCTAACCCTGCTTACACTAAGTGTATGTCAGTTGATCAAAATTTATCAGCTACACTATACTCCATCATTTCCTCCTCCTAGCTTCCTCATATTCTAAATCTTGAGACATGCCATGAAATTTAGATAATAATTGAGAAGCTCTCTACTCCACCAACGCATCTCGAATTCTTCAACTAAATAACTAGCTACATCTTCTCATCATGAAAGATCAAACAATGACCCAATAACATTCCCTAGTCAAATCTAAAGTTGATGCCATTAAAGCTGCTTGGAGTTCTCTGGACACTGAAGACATTATTTTACAAGCTCTCAATGGACTTCCAGTTCCTATCAGGTCTTTAAGATTGATATTCACACCTTCCTCCAACTCTTCAACCTTTATGACTTATACTCTTTACTCTGCAATGAAGAAATCAATTTAGCTTCTGAAGCCTTGCAAGCTATTCACTTTCCTAATTCTTCACAATCGGAAGCTAATGCACAATTTACAGCTTGGGGATGCAGCACTGGTCATGGAAAGACCACTATCGTGGTGGTGATTGAGGCTTTTGCTCAACCCCATTCTTGCAACAAATCTATTGTCATTTCTAATCAGACTGTAAAAAATGATGTCATTCTACTCTCTCTTGTTGGTACCACACTGATCTTAGTTATTATCCTACCCTTTCGTAGTTATTGTTCTTTCGGCTACTTCTAATTCCCTCGCTTCTGAATGGTTTATAGACTCCAGAGCATCCTCCCATCTCACTTTTGATTTGTTTCAAGTGCAGTCACCTCAGCCATATCATGGTTCTCATGATATCAGAATGGGACATGGCCAATCATTACCTATTGTTGTTATCAAACAGGGCCTGCTTCCAATACCATCACGTAAGTTACTTCTTTAACCTCTTTTCATATTCCTCATCTTACACATAATCTTCTATCTTTCAAGCAACTCACCACTCACAGTAATTATTCTATTTATTTTCATCCTTATGATCTCAAATTAAGGATTTGAAGATCAATCAACTTCTTATGATTTCAAATTAAGGATTTCTAGGCCTCCCCAAATTGGTAAAGTCGTCATCTCCATTAATGTTTTTCTTCCCTACGAAGTTCTATTCCCCTTCCAAGACTCTGCTACTCACTTTTTACAAAATTCAACATATTTTACTTATACTCTTCCTTTCACTCTTGTTCCTGCCTCTGTCACTCCCACAGGTTCTTTTTTATTTCCTTCACCAACTCTCTTGCCTTCTCACGACGCCATTTGCACACAACCCTCTCCTGCTATGGTCTCTGATTCACCTACTCCCATTCTTTTGGTGGCCACCCCTATTATGCTTCCCATTGTAATGTGATTCAAATCTGAAACCCTTAAACCTCATTAGATTTTCACCTTACAAAATCGCAATGTTGGCACTAAAGATCCTACTTATTGTACTGCTACTGTTAAATCGCCACACTAGTCAGAAGCTATGTTGACTACATTCCAAGCACTTCAAACTCAAGGGAACTAGATATTAACTCCTCCCACCCCTCGTCAAAATGTGCATGGTAGCAAGTGGTTGTTTAAAATAAAATATAATTCTGATGGATATATTCCTCACTATAAGGCTCAATTGGTTCCTCAAGGATATAAACAAAAGATGATCTAAATTTTACTGAAACTTTCAATCATGTAGCTAAAATGTCGATTATCCAAAATTTTACCTTGGTTGCTCTTCACAATAATTAGGACCTCACCCAACTAGATGTCTCCAATGCCTTTCTTCATGGCACCTTATCTAAGTCAGTCTTCATGGCCCAACCTCTTGGATTCAAAGATCCTAGCCATCCACACTATGTGTGCAAACTAAACAAAGCCATTTATGACTAAAACAAGCTCCGTGGCAATTGTTCTTCACTTTCACCTCGTACTTACTCCAATAGGATTTTCACTCATGTGTTGCAGATACTTAACTTTTAATTTTTTTTTAAGCACAATACTCGCCTTTTTCTCCTCATTTAAGTGGACAATATATTGCTATGGGAAATTAACCAAGTGTCGTCATTGGTCCCATTATGGATCTACACAAAGCGTTTCAATTAAAGTACCTTGGCTCCCTTTCTACTTTTCTGGGACTGCAAGCTTCTCAAACAATTATAGGTTTTATTATTCATCAAACTATCTCTCTTCAATCCTTCAACATGTTGTAATGCTTAAGTCTAAAACCATAATAAATCCTATGTCCACTAATCAAACTACTGGGTCTGATGCCCTTCTCTATCTATCCTTATATAGGCATTTGGTTGGCTGCTTACAATAATTAATTGTCACTCAATCAGATCTCTCATATGTAGTTAGTAAAGTCTGCCACTATGTACACTCTCCTCTAAATAAATACTATATTATGCTCAAGCATCTTCTACCCTATCTCAAAGGTACATTACATCTTGGTCTACCTCTAGACTGATGAAACTTACAACTCAAAGCCTTTATAGATGCAGATTAGATAGGTGATCCACAAGATCGTAAGTCGACAACCAGTTATTATGTCTTTCTAGGCTCCTGTCTTATTTCACAGTGTTACTAAGCAGTCCACCGTTGCTCATTTCTCCACTGAAGCCGGGTATCATGCCTTAACCATTGCCACAACTAATATTATATGGATTTGTTGCTTGTTAAGTGAATTTCAGATCCATCCACTTCATCCCACACCGATTTATTATGATAATATAATTGCTATTGCACTTGCCAATAATCCAATATTTTATGCTCGCACTAAGTATATTGAGGTTGATTACCACTTTATTCGTGATTGTAACAAATCCAATATCACAATTGTTCATCATATTTCTTCCAAAGATTAAATTTCTAACATCTTTACAAAAGGTATTTGAAATTAATAGTTTCTTCTTCTTTGTGACAAATTAAAACTCCAAGTACTAAGTAAGAATTTGCAGGGGCCTGATAACAATGAACATTCTACCACTACTTAAGAGAGGTGATAGTCACTTTCTACATAACGGGATTCGGTTGCAAACCTTCGGCACTTTCTCTGCCCTGCTGCAGCTGCTAGTGGAAAATATTACCACCATTGATTTGTAACTGATGCTATATATGTTCACCGTTGGATGTGGCTTATTATCAAAGGTGTATGTCAACTTCTTCATATATAAAGTCTACTGTAGTCCAAATGAAGGTATACAGAGAAAATCCTTTAACACAGTTGTGTGTTTCTGTGACCTTGTAGAATTCAAATTCAACAAAAAACAATGAAGGAAGAAGAGACGAGCAATTAAAAGATGCCCACAACTACAAATTTTGGGCGAGTGGGAGCAGCGGATGCTTTGTTCATTCATTTTGTATGAACATAATGAAGAATATTTATAAAATACAAAAGGCTCAAATGACACATTAAAATACCAAATAGCAACCCAATAAGCTTACAAACCTAAACTCATCATAATATATTAAATTTATTCCATGATCAATTCATTGGGTCTCGGATATGCCTAAACTTCTATTTTAATCACAAAATAATTCTGTAACCACCAAATCAAATCAGTCCAAAAATAGAGAAATCTTAAAAGCAATAACAGAGGAAGATCGAAGGAATAATTCAGCATCCAGCTGCAGAAATCGCAATTAAAAACACCAAAGTTGTTCTAAAAAAGAGTGGCAGGAAAAGGTTCTCTAAAACAAATGCAGGAACAACATAACTGGGAAGCCACTGAACTTTTAAACCTGTTGAGAAGCAACTAAACGGTGATAGCCAAACAAAGGATCCTTGGAAGCCTGGTGAACAGAGAATTCAGAAAATTTCAGAAATATTCGGAGGTAAGTATACCCACATCCAAATCAAGCAGAGCATATATATATATATATATATTAAAATAAAATAAAACAAAACAAATTAAATTAAATTAAAAGAACATTTTAAAGCTGTTTATGTTAACATAAATAAATTTATGTTTTTGTTAAACATTGAGATTACTTTAATACACTGAGTAATGAAATAGCTAAAGCAGTATTAGCTGACACCCCCTCCCTCCCCACCTTCAAAAAATAAAGGAACCAAAACGACAAAAATAATATAAAAAAACAAGACAAAAAATATTCCAACGTCCTTCTTTGGACATACCAAACAAGGAAGCTAATGCCACAACTTCAACTGCACAAAAAGCGAAAGGCAGAGTGTTCTGAAGAATATACCTCAGCATCACAGATATATGGATTCCTGTTCCAGCTACTATAATTGAGCAACACGACGGCAGATATCAACTATAGATATAAGTCATTGTTTGTAGATGTAAATCGGGTCTCCACCATTGATGAATACCATGTGCCGTTTTGAAGTCTGGAGAAGGGCTCAAATTGAGTATTAATTTTGCTGACGGTAGAAGGTGCAGAGGCTCAGATTCCTTTCCAAGTGCCCTAAGAAATATATCCCCCAAGGAATTCCGGGTTGCCAACTTCTCAATCATTCCGATTCCCAAATCTTCCATATTTTTACGATGTTGAAAATATCCAATATACTCTGAGCAGATGTGATCATTTGGATTAACAAATAGATTCGGCACCCATGAGGACAAAGAAACAAAGGGATCTTCTAATGTAGAACTCTCTTGCTGGCCTTGGAGGATAAAACTTAGACCAGCAGTCACAAAACTGTTTGCAATTCGAATTCCATTCTTTACCTTCTGACCTTTGATCCTCTCAATTGGAGCTGAGAAGAACGGTGGATTGAAAAGATATGCTTCCAGAAGAATGCCAATCTTTGCCATGTTCCTTCCAGCAAGAGAAGCCATGGCTGATCCTAAAGAATGACCAGCAAGCCAGATATTTGAGTTTCCAACAGCCGAAACAATGTTCCGAACAGCTTGCATTGCGATCTCAAATCGTGTGGTCTGATGGAGGGAGTTTTGAATCAAATGCCAATCGAGCCTGAGATCCCGATTAAGGGAGTCTTTCTTAGTGATCGTACCACGGAAAACAATGACAAACCTTGGAGCATCGGCAATGGTGAGATTGGAAGTAGGAGGCTTATATTCAAAAATAGCTCCAAAGATGGACGAATCGGCATCATCAACAAGCTTTCGATTCAGTTCAAAATGGAAGGATTCCCACCATGGAGGTGCAAGAGCTTCTGGTTCCTCACGATGTTCTTGCCGGTCACGCTCTAAGATATATACGCTCTGAACCAAACAGGCAGCAACAGATCTTCGATGATGTGTACATTTCCTATTTAATAGGATATAAAAAATATCACCTTCAGTTCACCAAAGACTCAATATAAGATAATCCAAACGGGTAGCCAGATATGACTAATTCAGTAATTCTAAGAAAACAAAGTAGCTGAGTACATCTCTAAAACCCTTTTTCTTCTGGTGTGCAAAGGTTTCTATTAAAATAAAACATTTTTGCTCAAAGCTTCTTCATTTTAATTGTGACCCGAAAAACTAATAAGGGGAATAAGAGATAATATACCAAATAAATTCAATATTTTTTGGGTTTGAAGGATTGGGGGAAATGCAACTGCATTTTACTTCACAATTACAGATTATGGAGTTCGATTTAATGTGATGAATAGGAGATGAAGTTTACCAAAGAAATATGATCAAGCATATTTTTACCAATATTTAATTACTAACACTAATAAAGAAATGGGAAGATAAATTTATATGGATGTTGGCTCGAACGCTGAAAAAAAAGGAGAAATTCTCCTGGATCAAACAAGATAAAAAAAACATTTTCGTACAATGTCGCCTCCAAACCAGTGGGGCTGAACAAATTTCAATTCAATTACTTTCCCATTTTCATCACCATTTACTTTGCACCTCTTTTGTTGTAATTCCTTCAAACCAAACAGAGACTTAGACAACGTAATATGGTCAATTGAGTCATTCACGAGCTGGCAAATTCAAATTTAGAAGAATACATTTTCAATTAACATAATAGAAAAGCTTCGCACTAAGAGATGACAATGAATATGTGGAAGGGAAAGGGATAGCATAAAAAACAAGACTAAAGGTAGATGTAGATCAAAGCATTTGTAGATTCCTATCTACCCAGCCGGTGTGTTCAACGGTTGATCAAGGGCATGCTCATTGTAGCATGCAAGTTTGTGTTTCCTTAATGGAAGGAATAGTCTTGTACTGGCAAATTAGTGAGCACACTGCAGATAAACGGCAGCTATAGTTGTTCCCTGTTCTCTTATGATTTCCTAGTTCAAAGATGACATTAGATATCTAATAGGAAATACTTGATTTCGCAAGTCTCCCTAAGGGAAATACTTGAGTTCACAAGAAAACCTAACAGTAATAGGTGAAAAAACAGCGAGAAAACGGCTGATTTCAGAGTGATTTCAGAGAGAAATCAGCACTACAATGTAGAATTTTCAAGAAATTGGACAGAAAAACACAAGCAAACTTCTTATATTCAATCCACAAACAAGGAAAACAATAAACGATATAAGTTTCTTTAATTCGAGAGGAAGAAACAACTCTCCAAATCTTTAGTCAAGCCTAGAGCCCAAAGAACAAACCCTAGATCTCAAATTTCATTCAAAACTCAAGATGAAACCCTAATTCTTGCATTAGCAACTAATTAAAGCCAAAGGAGAAATATTAAATCCCTAAACAGCACCTCATTCAAATATTTTCCTCCAAAGTAATGATTAATCAAGGTGTGGGCCCCATAGGAGCAGCCGGCCCCGTCCCTCTCCCTTCCTTGGGCCGGCCGCTGTAGTATAAAACCAGTCCACTAGGGACCTATTCAATAGGGACAGTTAGCCCCTCTTGGGCCGGCCTAACAATATCAAAGCCAACAGTCTAGAAATTTAAACTATAGTGATGAGTTTCCCAGTTGGATAGCTACAAAACAAGATCATAATGCCTAAAAGCCTGTATGAGTTGTACAGTAGTTGAAATTGCAGGTCAATAGATACGAGATACAGAAATATGGACGTTTTGCTTCCCAGAATGTGAAAACAAGTATCAACTGACTATGTTCTTCCTTCCCTTTGCATCACAAAGCCCCATATTTAAAAAGATTAAATTATGATGATTGAGAGTATTAAACCAATAGCATTAAATGGCCAAACTTAATTATATATAATAAAAACCATGCTGCACGAAAAAGAAACAAAAAGTAGGATCAAACCAATTATTATGCTTGGTAACAGTAGTAATTAAAATCTACTAAAAGTAAGAACCGACCCAATAGTTTGGGCCGGCTGGGCCGGTTCAGAAGGAATCAGCCTACCAATACCCACCCTTGTCCTCAAGGTGAAAAGAAGAAAACTTATGCTTCACTCTCTCTTTAACGCTCCCATGTCGCATAATAATCTGGAAGGTCTTTCCACCTGATCAACACCTCCTTCACCCCTCCTTCCCCCTGGCGCACCCCTTGTAACTCAAGGGGGTTCCAGTATCACCTCCATCTCCTCTATTAACGTCACTGGTAGCTCATAACTGGCTGCATGCTCCTCCATTGCTCTTCTCAATTGTGATACATGAAAAACAAGGTGTATTGTTGCCATTGAAGGCAATTTCAACCTATATGTTACCTCTTCAATCTTCTCTAGTACCTCAAAAGGCCCAAAAAATCTTGGTTCAAGCTTTTCATTCCTTCTATTGGCGACGGTCATCTGCCTGTAAGGTTAGAATTTTAAGAACACTCCTTCCCCCACCTCAAATTGGATGTCCTTCCCATGCCCATAGACCTATTTCTTCATAATCTGCTGAGCTCTCAATAAATGCCTCTTCAATTCTTCCAAAACCTGATCCCTTTCTTTTAAATACTCCTCTACTGAAGAAACTAAGGTGCTTTTATGCACAAAGTGCACCAAGTGTGGAGGATCGCTTTCATACAGCACCTTGAATAGGGTCATCTGAGAAGCAGAATGATATGAAGTGTGTATCAATACTCTGCCCATGCCAACCACTTGGCCCATAGCTTGGGTGTCTCCGACACAAACATCGTAAATATGTTTTCAAGTTTCTATTGATCAATTCTATCTGGCCATCTGTCTAGGGGTGGTAGGCGGTGCTCCTCTTCAGTATTGTCCCATGTAGTCTAAATAACTCCCTCTAAACATGGTTGAGGAACACCTTATCCTTATCTGATACCATAGACTCCGGTATCCCATGCAAGCGGATCACCTCCCTGATAAAAGTTGATGCCACTGTCACGGTTTTGTAGGGATGTCGTAAGGGAATGAAATGAGCATACTTGCTCAGTCTATCCACTATCACCAAGATCACTGTGAACCCCTATGATCTGGGTAATCCATCTATGAAGTCCATAGATACTTCCTCCCACAGCCTACCTAGCAATGCTAAGGGCTGTATCAATCCTTCTAGAAACATGGCCATGTATTTATTCCTATGAGAGATCTCACATCTGGCTATCATCTCCTTCATATCCTTGTGCATCCCTTCCAATACAACTCTGAGGCAAGTCTCTTGTAATTCTTTTGCACCCCTGAATGACCCACAACCGCGCTCCCCATGGAATTCATGGAGTAGGTGTGAAATGTGGACTGATGTCCCAGGCATCACGAACCTCTTCTAATACAATAGCCTCTCCCCTTCTAGAGAATTCCCTGGGAGGTTATTCCCCTCTTTCAATAAATAAGCCCTAATCCTTCTCAACTCCTTATCCAGTGCACTTTCCTCCTTAATGGCCTCCTAATCTAGCATTAATGGGACCGACACTGCTATCATCTGTAACTCCCCCATGCATTTGTCGTCTTGCTCTCCATTCCTGGCCTATACTGTATTTCAAAATCATACCCCAACAACATGGACAACCATCTTTGGTGCTCCTCAGTCACCATCTTTTACTCCAACAAGCACTTCAAACTCCGCTGATCTATCCTAATGATGAAATGCCTGTCTAACAAGTAGGGTCGTCACTTCTGAATGACTAACACAATGGCCATCAATTCCCTTTTGCAAACTGATTTCAAACTGGTCTTAGCTATCAATATCTAGCTAAATAGGCAATGGGTCGATAGCTTTGCATGAGTATTGCTCCCAATCCATACCCCAAGGCATCAACCTCTACTATCAAGACCTGAGTGAAGTCTAGTAGGGCCAAAAGTGGTATAGTGGTCATGGACATCTTCAAGATCTCAAAAGGTGTTGTGGTCGTCTCTCTCCATAAGAATCCATCTTTCTTTAACTGCTCTGTTAGTGGTCATGCTATGGTGTTGTACACCTGCACAAACTTCCTGAAGTATCTTGTCAATCCCAGGAATCCCCCAGCTCCTTAAGATTTTTGGGCACTGGACATCTTAACATAGCCTCAATTTAGCCTGATCTGCAACCACCCCCTCCGTTGAGATGATATGCCCCAAGTACTCCACACTGGCCTGGGCAAACCGACATTTCTTCATATTGGCCCTCAGTTGGTGCTCCTATAACACCTTTAACACCCTCCTCAAGTGCCCTAATGATCCTCCTTTTACCTGTTGTAAATCAGTATATCGTCCAAAAATACCAACATAAACCGTCTGAGATAGGGTCTAAAGACTTTGTTCATGAGAGACTAAAAAGTAGTTGGGGCATTAGTGAGGCCAAAAGGCATCACTATGAACTCATAATGCCCTTTATGAGTTCTAAAAGTAGTCTTTGGCACATCATTTCTTTTCATCCTGATCTCATGGTATCCTGACTTTAGATCTATCTTGGTGAAGATAGCTGCCCCACTCAACTCATCCAGCAACTCCTCTATCAGTAGGATAGAAAACTTATTTGGCACCGTTTTCTTATTCACTGCCCTGTAGTCAACCCAAAACCTCCAACTCTCATCTTTCTTTCTAACCAGTAACACTAGGCTAGAAAAAGGGCTAATATTGGTCTTGATAATCCCTACTTCCAGCATCTCTCTAATCAACATTTCAATATCATCCTTTCGAAATTGAGGATAACGATAAGGCCTAATGCTGATAGGTGACACACCTTTCTTCAATGTGATAACATTCTCCTACTACCTTGGTGGTGTCAATCCTTAAGGTGGCTGACAAACCTCACTGAATTGCTGGATTAATGGTTAACTGAAGGAGGAACCTCCCTGCTCCTCCAGTTTGATCCCCTCTAGCCTGTGCAGCTCCACCATATAACATTCTGCCACCTCCTGTATACTCCTCACCATGGCTTTAAGTGACACCATACATTTAGAGAGCCCTCCATCTCCCCTTATCACTATTCTTCTCCCTTCCACTACCAGCGCTATTGTCAATGCCTTCCAGTTGAACTTGGTGTCTCCCAAGATTTTTAGCCACTTCATCATCAAGATGAGATCAGTGCTCCCCAACTTCAATGGAAGAAAATCCTCCCTCATCAAAGTCCCCTATATGGTCAACACCACACCCCTAGATAATCTCTGGCCCGTCTCCAACTTTCCTGTACCCATCATCACTCCATAACACCATGTATCCACCAATTTTAGCCCCAATTAGTTCACAACCTGGTTGGAAATGAAATTGTGGGTAGCCCCATTAACACCACCACCTCCATATCTGTTATTTCCCCTTTCACTTTCATAGTAAGATTTGGGATGAATCCTACCACTGAGTTTAGGGATACCTCCGTCATATCCAGCTGCAACTTGTCCTCTATCTCTCCCTCTAACTCACCCTCACCTCCCTCTTGAGTTTTCTTGTCATCACAGGCGGTGAGAACCTGAAGAGTTCGATCTCTACATCTATTCCCTGGAGTATACTTCTCATCACACCTAAAGCATAACCCCTTTGCCCTTCTCTCCTGCATCTCCCTCTCCGTCAGTTTTTTGAAATTTTCGCCACTTCCTCCTCCTAATGGCTTCTCCCTGGGAGTTCCACGAAAACCACCTGCTGCAGGATCCTTGGGAGCTAGAAGAGTGGTAGTCATCCTATAAGATGCCACCTGAATTGTTGCTCCTGTCTCCCCTCTCTTGATACTTCTAATCTTCTACCAACTAAGCTAGCTCCATTGCTCTCCCAAGTCACGAGGCCTTATGACTCTTACCACAGCTCTAATCCCGGATTTGAGTCTTTCATGAAGTTACCCTCTAAATCAATCTCTGATAGTCGCTCCACCCGACTAGCCAAGTGCTCAAATATCTTATGGTAGTCTGCCACTGATCCATCCAGTACTAGTGTAATATCAAAAATCTGCTCTTCAGAACCAAATTCCAAAGCCAGATCCTGGATAAGAAGGTTCTGTCGCGATCCGGCTCGGGCGGGATCCGTCCCCGTCGGGTCGGGTCGTGACAACTAGTGCAAAGAAACGCTCATAGAAGTCCCCTCCCTGCCAGTTCAAAAATGTTCCAATAAGCATTCCTTTGAATTCCCTCCAACTCTGTATGGGTCTCCTCTAATCCCTCCATTGATACCAACATAATGCCTTCCTCTCCAAACATAAGCCTATTGCAGTCAATTTTTCCTCCTCTGTAAGCCAATGGATGGTGAAATACCTCTCCACCTTGTAGATCCACCCGCGTGCGTCCTCCTCTTCAAAAATGGGTATCTTAACTTCCTCGCCTTTGGATCTCCCCCGTTTCCCCATATTCCTCCATAATTTTCCCTTTATCAAGTGCTTGACTCTCCCAAAGTCTCCTGATATTCCCTTCCACGCTTGTACCCAAGCCCTTCTTCACTTTCTCATCTCTTCCCTTCAAATTCAACACCCCTCCTATCATAATCCCCCTCTTTTCTTTCCCAACCAGCACCCTTTGATTTATGCCCCCCATAACCACGCCTCTCCATGCCTTCCACCTCCCTCCATGATTTCCACATCATTGTCCCTCCTACGAAATTCAGAATTTTTCACTCCCCACCAGTCCTTTTGCCTCCGATGTTGTTGTTTGAGTTTAATTTTCCAATATCTTCTTCACTATCTCATGAAGATCGAAAACCTTATCATCCACTGATGAAACTTTGTCTTATACGGATGAAATTTGATCCTCCACCGTTGCTTTTATTTGGCTCATCTCCCCTTCTAGGTTCCATCAATATCCGAAATTTTTATAGGTTCAAAAAATCTGGACATTGACCAAAAAAACAGCAAAAAATCCTTTCTTCCGGCCAAAAACAGCTGTTGATTTTCCAGAAAACAAATCATAAATGGTCCCAAAATCTGCACTGATATCAATTTGTTAGGAAGAACTTGGAGATCTCAAGTAAACCCTAATAATAGAGATTAAAACAGCGAGAATGATCAACAAAACGATGGAAAAATCATAGAAAACAGCAACAAAAATCAACTAATGGAAGCAAATAGCAAAATACAATTGATCCTCAATTCGAGAGGAGAATCGATCTCTCCCAATCCCTAGGCGAATCTAGGGCCTCAAACTCTAAGAACCAAAGACACCAAATTACCACCAATTATCAGTTAACCCTAACACTAAACATCTCCTCCTATTTAATACAAAAATTCAAATACTTAATTCAAACTTTCCCTCCAACCCTAGCCACCCCCTCATTGAATTTCCTAGTGGGGTCCACTAGAAGCTTGGGCGGCAATCCCTAGGGGGCGAACTAGCTTGGTCTGCCTCCTGTAACTAAGAACAAGCCCAATGCTTTGGGCCGGCTGGACCGTTTCAGAAGAAATCGGCCTTATAGAAAGCTAAAAATTAATTTTTTTAGAATGGTAGTTTATCCAAGTAAACACTTTTATGGAATTTTAGTTTCCCATCAAGTTAATTATTTTAATACATTATATATTAAAAAGATTATAAGACACATTATTATTATATGAAATTCATAATAATAACAGCTTTCATACAATCAATTTATTCAAGTGCACAACAAGTTTCCACCAAAAAACAACTCTTACCATACACTAAACAACAATTTTAATCTAATTTTACCAAACACTCATCTGCTTTATAACACAATACAATAAGATTACAAAACAGTACCAAAGAACGCATTTACTAATTCAGCTAGTCAAAATTCATCAAGATAGATGGAAGTGCGCAACAAACAACTCTTATCAAATTATCAATTGCTGATATCAAATAGTGCAAAACACAAAACTCAAAGCACCAACAGTGGAGCAGGGGCCAAGGCACATACCAATTTAAAGGAGAGGATAAGTGGATAGGTCCTGAGATGCTAAACACGTCCCTTTCTGATGTCATTTCCCTAGTAAAAGTTTACTGAATGTTCACAGAAAGGCAGCGCTGAAAAAGAAGAAATGAAAAGAACGCGATAAGATGCAAGAGTAAGAATTTCCAGCGAGCGACACAATGATTTCAGAAAGAACTGCTTGATGTAATCACTCATAAATGTAGATATGGTTCACAACAATGAAAACCTTAAGATTAAGAGGACGTCTAATGGTTGGTGAAGAAACTCTTTAGTATTAATCAAACATCAAACAAAATATAAAATTTGTGTCAACCATAGGGTACTTAAGCTTATGAATCATGCAACAAAATTATGGGAGAAAATGACTGCACAGACATTGAGGAAATTACACTGACAATAATGAAAAAATTAATTTTCTACAAAATAAAAAAGATAAACTACAGAAACAATATTTATCCAACTGATTTAATTGAACAAGATTTAGTAAAATGTATAAATCATATGGTATTTACTGAACATCAAAAAGCCAATAATCGAGTCTTATAGGAATTGATTGGAAGGATTAGAAGTGAAAGCACATTGAAAAGATATGTTGAGATTATTTAAAAACTGTATGATTGAGCAATGGCTAGTAGTAGAAATAATTTTCAGGTAACCAAGACCTTTCAATCATAATATCATTACATTGAGTATTTAGGGTTTAGGCTATATATTTTCAAATTAGTCAAGGAGAAGATTATAGTAGACATAATAAACAAGGCACCTTTCTGCTTGCTATTTGTAGCAGAGATAAGGCTAATAGTGAGGATGACAGGCTTCATAGGAGAGATTAATTCCATACGAAGTTAAACTAAGAAAAAATAAAGAGAACTTTTAAAAGGCGAGATTTAAGTTCAAGTGAAAAAAAAAAAAGAGGTAACGTTTTGCAATTTTTGAGAACACAAAATTAATAACAAGAAATCAAATGAAGCCAAGGATTGAAGATACAGTGTTATGATAGTTTCAGATGCCTTGATTCTATCAAACAAAACTTAAAACAAATAGAGGACATTTTTACTAAAGAATTATATATGAGTAATTAAAATTGAGCAATAACTTTCAAGGTACAATGTTATAGAAGAATATTTGAGTGATGAATATTATATCTAATAAGAAAACAATAAGACATTACTTTGTCTAGATCCTATTCCAAGTTCGGGTAAGGAAGATGAAGATCATGTATGAACTTAAGTTTTTGACAAATAAGTCAAGGGCGGCGAAAAATGAGAATGTAAGGATGGATGTGATAAAATTAGGAAAGATGGTCTGAAAAGGATGTATTAGCAAATTGTCTAATTATCAAAAATTAAAGGTAAATTAATAGAAAAATTTTACTTAGATGTTTTTTGTTTACTATAAAGAGCCGGAGATGTATAAATAAGAAGCAAAGTAGATAGAATCAATCAATATATAATTGAGAATAAAAAATGAAGGCCTAAGGTAACTTTAACAGAAAATTAAGGACTTGCATAAATCACATTTATGACAACATGAAAATATAAAAAAAAGGAGTAATATTCAAATAGACAACCAAAATAGACCCTAAATTGCTTAGATAACACTAATAATGATGATTATGATGAATAAGTTTTCAAAGAAGCATACTGATGTGGAAGAAATATAAGTTTATAAGCTTAAAATCTTATAAATAATGCATGAATCAGAAATAACAACAACTATAATACATAAGTAGTAAATTATTACAATGATAAGCATAACAAATCTCAAGTTTTCAATAAGAAACGTCCATTGATTTGTGGTTTTTACCACATACATATACCGATGTCATGTGCATTGACAAGGAAAAAGGCTTGCACAATATTTTATTGATTTCAACCATGCTCAAAAGAATATGGCGCAAAACATGAAAGAAAAACTTGCAAGGCAGCAATGACATTCTACAAACAGGAACAAAGAACATTATATATCTTTAAAGAAAAAAGAGTACACACAGATAGAATGCCAATGTGCATTACATACAAAACTTTATAAAAAATTTAGAGAAAACAATCTTAAAAAAATACATTTCAATTAAATAATTTTAGCTGTAAAAAAAAAGAATTTTTGAGACAAGGAAAACACCAAAGTGGTATCGAAAGAGACAGAATAGGTAATGTAATTTTGGAGGCTTGAAAGATTACCAAAAAATTCAACGTTTACACCCGATTCGCTGCCTCCTCACCTATTGCTTGTTTCCCATAGGCATAGCAAGCTTTCCGGCTTATCTAGAAATCTGAGCACATCAATCGCATAAGTATCCAAAAGATCGCAAGAAAAAAATAAGCAATTAATGGTAAAAAAAATGCGAAAACTGGACTACTGACAATCCATAAGAATTAGATTTCTTTCTCTTCAATTCCGAATCGCTTACCAGGAGCTTCGCTTCCTAATAAATTGTGAAGCAAAACTAACGAAAGGGCATAGTTATGGAAATCGATTCTTGTCATCGGATCTACTACAATACGGATATTTCTTGCTTACCTGAGAAGAATCGTGGAGATTTCCTTCGAGAAGAGCGCGAGGAATGGGCCACTGTTTTTTCTGATGCAGAAAGACGACCATTAAAGCATATTAATTTAAACAAGTGTTTAATTTGGGTAAGCTTTCAAACACCGGTAAAAATAGACCCAATTAATCAGGAAATTAGATATACGACTATATCAAATCATAATTAGGGTTCCTTTGGCATAGTTTTTTTTTTTCTGCTTTCTATAAAAATTTTCAAGTAAAATTTTTTTTTTAATTAGAATTTCTTTTTTACTAAAAATTTAATTTAAAAACTAATAAGAAAATTGCCCTAAACAAAATCTTAATTAGTATGCATCCATAAGTTATAAGCGAGAGAGAATACCAAGTTAATTTTGTTCTAGAGTTAGCAATACAAGCACAACATATAATGTTGTAGAGCCACTTCACCAATCCAAGATATTGTTCCGAGCCACCATGGGTCACATAGTCTCTTAAATGCTTGAGCTATTTCTGAGTGCAATGCATCTCAATCTTCATCGGTTCAAAATATTGCTCTATAGATTATTGTATGTATGATGGCAAGAGAGAGTTCATCACCTTATTTTAATTGGGTTGTAAACTTTTTTCGCAAGTGAATCAATAAAACATATGGTATAATGCAATGAAAGTTTAGTTAAAATTACAAAACTATTAAGGGAGAAATAGAGCAAGTGAAAAGGATAACTCCAAAGAGATTTTTGTATTGTTCATTGAGACACTCTCAACATATTGATCTTATAATCCTTCATAAAAGAAAATAGCTAAATAGACCCACACAAACATTGTAAAAATCATGTCACCAAACTCTAATATAATATGCAAAGTGGGTTGCTAGTTTAGTTAAGAAGTAGGAATAATATGTAATTACATCATGGCTTGATATACTAGTCATTAGTTGCATGGATGTATTGGGATTGCTAGTTAAAACAAAGTTCATCTCCACTAGCTTATAGAAGCCATCCTTTATTTTAGAGATCATCTTCTATTCATTTTCTTCACATTTGCCTATTTTGTTATATCCAAATTTTAGATTTATCTTAGAAAAGTTAACTACTCCCTCCATTATGGCAAGCATGACATCAAGTTTAGGTATTGAGAATCTAAACTTATTGTTCATCATTTTAATGGCACTTGTCTCCCTTTTGAGGGTAAGAATGGTTGTGACAATGACAAAAATAAACTCTCTCAAATGAATCCCTTATCTAATAAGTCATTAACTGATTACTTGAGTTTTCTTGCTCGACTAAACATCCAGTAATGTGATAGTCAAAGGAATGGGGTAGTACTTAGGATAGATGTCTTCAAACTATATTAGAAATTGGGTTACTTCAAGGGAAGTGAACTTAAGGATTTGTTAACTAAACCTGGTTATGAAAACCAAGGTGTAAAATATGACTTTTATAAAGTTTTTACTAAAATTCTTACCACATGATTTCATGTAGGGATTTTTTTTATTAGGGTAGAAGAGTATCTAGGTTGATGTGACCTTAAGCATGAAAGAGTTAAAGATAAACCATTTCTCTTTTAAATTAAAAGTGCACGCTTCTATAATGAGTGGCATCCACATAATGGAATGATTTTCTTGACAACTATGCTTACCCACAGACATCACAAAAGACATCAGAAGTTAGGGTAAATCAGATAACCTCGTTTTTAAGGAATTGCATCCACATAATTTGGTCAAAGGTTTTAGCCATATTAATTACCCATATAAACTTATCATTTTTAAGGATGTTTGTGAATAGGTCTATGATGGCGCTAAAATTTTCCATAAAACACTTATAGAAAGTGGGCAGTCTATGAAGGCTTCTAACAATGATGAAAGATTTTGGTGTTGGGCATACTATAATTGATTTGAACTTAGAATGGTTCTATTGGAGTCCCATAGCAGAAATGATAAAATCTAGGAATATAACATTTTTTAATGAAGAAATAACTTTTATTACTATTTTTAAATTTTTAGACTTTAATGTTTCATATATAATTCTACGATGTCATTAAATATGATTAAAATAAACCATGGAATTAAAATTTTTATTTTTAAAATTAAATACTACATTGAGATAGAATAATATTATGTAATGAACTTTAGAACAAAAAATAGAGTTTTGAAAATTCCATTTTGTAAACAAATAGGTCGTAGAGAATATCTTACTATTATAAAAGATAGAAATGATACTACATAATGGTATTTGAAAATATATGGGGCTTTAACAAACATTTTTTATGTTCCCAGATATTTTCCCCATCCGTAGGTGAATAAGCTAGGTTTTATTTTACTATGGGTTATAGGTTCCCCAAAAAGGTGAACCCTTATGGTTAATTACATTCCAAGAGTGGTGAGTCTCCTAAGAACACTTTCAATTATAGTAGTGTGAAAAGTATAGATAATGAATTGTTTAATATGTTTGATGTTAAGTAAAAAAATATATTTTTTGGTTGTGCTGTGCAGAAAAAATACAAAAAGGGCGCAATATTCTAAGTTTCATACGATATAGCTGCGTCGGACAAATCAGCATCACAGTGCCAACAAGGATATCACTGAAGCGCCACACTTGTACATGGCAGTGTAGCGTTCACTGTCTTCAAGCATCGTGGTGTCAAAATGGTCAGCTTAGCATCACTTTGTTCATTTTCTTCAAGTGTTGTGGCATCACAATTTATCTAGTCTTGGCACTAATTTTGTTATTCAAGTGTCGTAGCATTCGTAAGTCTTTAGCGCTGTGAAATAATTATTCCACAACAGCAAATTCCATGGTGGTGATGAGTTTAAGCATTGAGGTGCTAATTCATTTGATGGGCGCTATGGTGCCACTCTTTCAACTGCTATAATGCCACCTTTTTGTGTTATTTATAAATATTAGTGATGTTATGTTTTTAAGGGAGTTCAATCATTTATCTAATTTTACTATTTTTCAAATTACTTCTTTAAATATTTCATAGAAACAATTCTAAAGGAGACTAAAGAAATGTTAAATATTATCATTATAGTATATAGTCTGTGTTTATTTAAGTAACTTTGTATGATAAAGAAGATGGAGTGTAGAAGAGATACTTTAATCCTACATAGTGATTTCACTCTCTTGTATTTTTATTCTTTCATGATCTCAATCAAAATATGTTTGCTTATATTTTCTTCTATGTATGGCTAATTCTCTAATTATAAATTGATGATATAGAGAACATATTAAGTACTAATAAAGATTCTTGTGCATTAATGTTAAATTATTTTTTTAATATTTTCCCACCCTTTATTTAATGAACATAGAGGCCTTATGTATAGTTAAACTTAGTATGATGTATAACTTTGACTGAGTAATGCAAGAACAATTGAGAATATTTAAATAGTATGTTAGCATAACTAGACATATGATGTAAAATATGCTAGGTTTTAAAGGAGATGATATAACTGTAGGAGGTTATTAGATATCCTTTACACCCTATAAGTTTGACGGAGATCTAGAGATGAATATGCTCTGAATCACATTAAAAATAAGAGTTTCACTAAGAAAGGTATACAATTTACATTCATCAATCCAAAATATTTTATTTATATATTCTATCCATTATTTTTATTAATTATAGTCAGTGATTGAATCTCTCCACAGCTAATAATTTTATTTCAGTAGGATAATTTAGCAATTACAGTAAACAGTAGTAGTTGATTGCTAGAAAGTATACTTTATCGTGGGTTTGACACTCTACTCTATCACTTTATTGCTTGATTTGGCTTATATACTTTTTTAATTAAGTTGGGTCTTTTCTTTTATATATATCAAAGAAAATCTAAGTATTATTTAGGAGACATATAGCCTTAAATATTTTTATAACTCCAAAGTGCACTCCAAAAAGCCCCATCAAATTTTTGGCATCGTTGTAGAGGAAGTAATTTTCTTTTTATAAATTTTAATTGTATTATTTAATTAGTTATATATTTAGACCTACTTATATCTTTTATTTATTTTAATTTATTTGATTAATGATTATATATTTTTGGTTAAATGCTTTATAGCCATACAAAGAAATTATTGTTATTTGATCTTGAAATTAAGAGAACCCATTCTAAAATTCAAAACTAAGAAGATTTTGAAAATGACTAAACTTTTATTAAATTAAAATCATTCTAGACCTCTTAAGTATTATGTAAACCCTTTAGTAGATAAAATTCATCAGAGCATTAATATACATATAATCTAAGCTAATAATTTCGTATTAAAACTTATCACTATTAAAATAGTTTAAAACTCTCAGTTTGGAAAAACTCCTATAAATGATCATAATTTATATTTATCTAAATTTTAAAAATTTATGCAATATTTAAGTACAATGATGTCAGTAATAATGCTATTAGACTTAAATTATTTTCATTTTCTCTAAGAGATAAAGCTAAGATGTGGTTGAATTATTTACCCGGCTTCTCCATCGAACTCCCTTATCGGTCATGCATCCTCCGAAACAGATTCGGACAAAGAACGATTCTTTACTCCACCACAATCGGTCTCGTCTGCGTCGTCTTCTTCCACCTCGACTCCCGGTATTGATAGTGCTTCCAATAACAGAGAGAACGAAGAGCACTACTCTTTTACTTATATCAAATCAGGAAGTGCAGCCCATGAGGCAATGAAAGAAAGTTTTCTTCTTACAATTGTAAGAGATAAGTTCAAAGGATGGGAGTCCATTGGAAAAATGGATGGTCACCACATTGATAAAACAAATGAGGAACTGACCCAAGCTTGAAAGCTCGAATTAGTCCAAACAAAGGAGGAAATGGAACGCCTATCAAAAGAATTGCTGGAGCTGAACTGGACCAAGTTCGAAACAGCCCCAGTGGGGGGCCCTATAATTAGATGAGAATGAGGATGACTCTTAGTATGGACCAACATGATAAGTATTATAGATACACCTCAAACTTTAATGATATACTTGTTGGTATGTTGAGTAGCCCTTTTGTGGAGCCTCTTAAAAAGATTGAGTTCCACTCTTCACCTACCTGCTACAATCCCCTTATTTGGCAACTTCAAGAGAAAGAACATGTTGATGATGATGAGGAAGAGTAGGAGGAAGACCCTGATTGAGAGAGTTTGGAGGCTACTTTGGTTGGGTAGCATTTTTTTT